CAGATATCATCCTTGGTACTCATTACAAAGGGCAAGTTGGATGGTTCAATGATTTTTGTAGTGAAGTGGCTATCTTACAAGCGTAACAATCAAACTATACGATTGCACAGACTGAGACAGCATATACATAAATTGAAATGGTTTATTTTCTATCTGCGCCAAATATATGCAAGCAATAAGTTAGCCTCTTCAATTTTTACGTAAGGTAACCAAGAAATATCACATACTGAAGAATACATTATTACAATGGCCGTCTATAACAGCCAAATTTATCTTCACACTTTAGATGGTGATCTCTGAACACTACTGTAACACAAAATAAAAGCTACATGTCAAATTCATACTCGATTGTGGTCATTTGTCTAACATTCCTTTTTTTTATCTGAAATGAAGTTATACAATAAATCCAGGCTATTGCTATCTATTCTAACACTTGTACTCTCCTGAGACCACTATGATCCGACAAACTGTCTGTTTAAAATGTCCCTTACTGGTAAGCAAAGTAAACATGGACTGTTTAAAAAAAAAGAACATGCTACAAAATTAGTTCACTGAGAAAGCTTCATCCTATCAAAAGGCAACAATTTATTTGTACACTAGTGTGTGGTTGGTAATCGAGCAGTCTTCACAATACATAGCAGTATCAATTCAACATCGTGTCTTGTTATATAAAAGTAATGTGAGTGAATTTGAGCACACTGAGTAGATTATCTAATACTGTAGAATACTTTATTTTAGCTGGAATTAATTCTCGCTGAAAGACGTTTTGGGTGTTTTGTATGGAATTAATTTTCACCGATTTTTGAAAAGTTGAATGTAAAACATAAGAATAAGAGTATATTACTTAGAATTTATTTCACTGAATCATTCCTTCAGCAAAAAGTATTTTACAGGATATTGAAAAGGATGCAAGATATAATGAGCATGACAAGGTGATGATGCAATTAATTATAAGACATACAAAAATAAATAATAAAAAATATTAAACATTACAACTGGCTGTGATATCAAATGTAAAATTAAACATAATGTTACAATTAAAAAATAATTATAAAAAAAATTCACTAAATTAGAATGACTGGCTCAATACAAAAACAAAACAAAAACAGATTGCTATCAATTTTAAAAACAAGTGTTGATCACAAGAATGGACATGGATGCAGTGTTTGTTTGTTTTAATTAATGTCACATTGACAACTCAAGTACAAATATTTGAATGCAGTGTATCCTTCAAACTAATACGACACTTTTAAGTAAATCTTTTTTTTTTTTAAAGTTAATTCAAATATTGCATGATATATTACAGCTAAATCGTAAATTTGATATGTTAACATGAGTATAACACACAGCAAATCATAGGCATGGGCATAACCTTTTCACCACCAGTTTCCTCTTTATCACAAATTCACAAAATAGACTCATTTATAATCAGCACTTTTGGTCAGAAGATTGGGACAAAAATTAGCCAAATTTTTTGAGTAAAAACTTAAAATTATCTCAAATTTTGTCTGTTAGCTCCTAAATTGGGTTTTATTTCTACAAATATTGGAGAATCCATGAAAAATTGGTGGCGAAAAGGTTGAACTTGTGGGAAGACAACAATGAAGTAGGTGAAATTTAACTTGTTTTAGTTTGGGGATGCAAAATTTGAGTAGACGTAATTTAAAAAAAAAGATTTTGTTAGCCACAATTACTCTACAGTGAGGACCTTAGTGACAACAGTTGAAAGTCGTATGATTACATGGTACAATATGGCAGAGTTGTTGAAATGCTAGTGAGCCCTCTAGTGTTAGATTATTAATAAGAGGGCGCTATATATAACATAACTTGGATGTGTGGAATGTTACTCACTAGAAAAGGTGATAAAATTGTAAAAAAAGGTTTCATAAAAATACAATATCATACCCAAAAACATTGTTGTAACTATGACAACCCAGTACATATATTCATGGCTTAAAAATAAATTTACTTTCTCTATTCCAGACGACTGATTAAACAAAAGTAAATTTTCTATATTTAGATTTTTAACATTTTCCATACTTTTTATTGCTGAAATTGTATGTGATATTCAACTTGACATCAGCTGATAGTAGGTTGCCATGGGAACAATAGGTAAAATTGTCAATATCAATATTTGCAATAATACTGATATACCTGATAGAATATAACACTTATAATACATTTGTTAAATGTAAAAGAGATTCAGTTATCATGATTCAATATGGACGAGAACATGAAATTTTTAATATTGTTGTTTGATACATTGGATTATCATTAAAGGGGCACCTTCCAGTTAAGCCTAATCTCAGAACAAATTTACTTTCTGGATTAAAATAACAATGGATAACAAAAGATAGATTAACATTGTAAACAATAGTGTCCCATGATTCTTTGGTGCAATCCATGGGATTGAGCAGTTCCCCTTTAATCATGAATTGACAATGCACACATCTGAGATTTCATTCGATGAAAAGATGAAATTTTCATATATGCATATGCACTGATCGTTTTGATACGCGCAATCACTGCATATATTAGTAGTTATGATTTGTCATCCAATGAATACAGTTGTGCGTCCTGAAAACAAACATTGTTAATTTACAATAAATCATATTTTGATTTAGTCCACAGTGTCTAATGACAATATTGAAAAAATATGTTTTCGTCCATATTGTATCTTTAAAGATTAGGAATCAATAAGCTAAACCAAAAAATGTTATTTTATGTAATGAGCTAAAATCTAACTTTGTAAATGACATCGTTAATCACATTCCCCTAAATCATTAAAATACACATGTCATTAAACCAAGATAAATTACAAAATAACATGTAAGATTAAGACTTATTACTTATTATTCAATTCATGAGAATATTACATTTAAAAGGAGGTCTTAACTTAATATCTATGATGTTTTGCAGTTAAAATAGCAATAGAAGACACAAAAGGATTCTTTAAGGCAATGTTAATAAACTAAGGGAATTATAATATTCACTATAATCATGAAGCTAAGGTAGCTTAAATTGGTACTAAAAACATGAACCTAAGGAGTCTAGTTGGTATTGGAAACATGAAACTAAGGAGTATAAATGGTGCTGGAAAAATGAGAATTGGAGGACCAGTTGATTCTGAAAACATGAAACAAAGGATTCTAGTTGGTACTGCAAGCATGCAACTATGGAGTCTAGTTGGTACTGCAAGCATGCAACTAAGGAGTCTAGTTGGCACTGGAAACATGCAACTAAGGAGTATAGTTAGTACTGCAAGCATGCAACTAAGGAGTCTAGTTGGTACTGCAAGCATGCAACTAAGGAGTCTAGTTGGTACTGCAAGCATGCAACTAAGGAGTCTAGTTGGTACTGCAAGCATGCAACTAAGGAGTCTACTTGATTCTGGAAACCCAAAATTAAGGACACCACATGTAGCTGAAACTGAAAACATGAAAATTCAGAGTTTATAATTGTACAGCATGCATATATAACACTAGCAATATGACAGTGATTTAATGTGGCTTACAAAAAATAATCCTAATATTGTAAATTTTGTTTCTGGTACTCAG